GTCGTGTCACCGTAAGTTTAGCTGCTGCAGGCCTCTGCCATCTCAATTCAGTATTCGCATTGTCTAGGACGTGAGAACGGCCCCAACAAATCAGGCGGAGACGATGTCGGACGATTTCAGCTACGAATACTCAGCGACGATCCACATAAAGAAAGACGAGTGGTATCCCCTACAGTCGTTCAGAGACCCGGCCAGTCCTATTGAGGATAATAAATTGAGGCTGGACGTCCAAGGCCGCAAGCTCAATCGACGTCTTCGAGTGCGATAGATCTATTCGAGTCCCCCCGATCATATTGACGATTGGTGTAGAAAGATGTTGTGTGTTACCTTGCTCAAGACATAGATTACCCGCTCTACAGCAAGACCCTTGGTCTCAAGGAAGGTCAAGTTCGGCTCAAGAAGGGATGCAAGGTCCGTATTATAAGCGACGGTCCCGTCTCTAGCGCTGTATGTTCTCAATCAACGATCTGAGTGCCGATTCTGACGAGTCTCTAGGATCGCGAGGCAAAGTCGGGAAACCGATACCATTGGGTGCCTTACAAGGGACTCATTGAGAAGGATATTGAGAAAGTTGGTAGGAGTTCTCTGGACCGCAGCTTCTTCCATAAGGCGAAGTAGTTCGTACCGCCGAGATGTCTCTCCTTCTTAATAGTTACCACATTGTACCACTACAGCTCTGAATCGGGATTTGTACTCTTTTATTTGTTTCCATCTTGGAACTAGTGACCGTGCTGAGGGACCGAGAAGAGGCACCGATAAAATCCTTGGCAAACTCGGGTGTGGCTAGTCGCGCGCAGACTTGCGCAAAATCAGCTAACCATAGAGTCAGTCGATCATGATCGATCATCCTTCCTTTCCTCCATTCCCTCATGGCGCCTCGAACCTGCGCGCTCTGCCACACCGCGCGGGCCATGCTGAAACGCCCCAAAACTGGCCAGCAAATCTGCAAAGACTGCTTTTTCTACGTCTTCGAAACCGAGGTGCACAACACTATTTCAGATTCCAAGTTATTCAAGCCGGGAGACCGTGTAGCTATCGGGGCATCTGGGGGAAAGGGTCTCTCCTCCTATGTTCGTCCATCTCTTCGTGCCTGATCCATGTACTGGCAGATTCCACCGTCCTAGCATATGTAATGAAAGCCCTCAACGAGCGCTATAAGTACGGCTTGGATCTATTCCTCTTGTCCATCGACGAGGGCATCACGGGCTACCGCGACGACTCGCTAGAGACTGTTAAGCGTAATCAACAGCAATACGACATGCCGCTCAAGATTCTCTCGTATGACGAGCTGTACGGCTGGACCATGGACTCCATCGTCGCCGAAGTGGGGCGCAAGAACAATTGCACGTTCTGCGGCGTATTTCGGCGACAGGCGCTGGATAGAGGAGCAGCGATGCTTGGTGTGGATCATATAGTAACGGGACATAACGCGGATGATATTGCAGAGACCGTCCTGATGAATAGTACGGACCACCGTGCATGCTTCAGGCGCGTTCTAACGTTCTATCAGTCATGAGAGGCGACATTGCGCGTCTGGGCCGCTGTACGTCCATCGTGACACAGGGCGAAGACACGATCAAGCGCTCCAAGCCGTTCAAGTATGCGTACGAGAAGGAGATCGTTATGTGAGTCATACACTCTCCTTCCATTTGCTTACTACATGAAGCATAGGTATGCATACTTTAAGAAACTAGACTACTTTTCGACCGAATGTATCTACTCGCCGGATGCCTACCGAGGACACGCACGGACGTTTCTCAAGGATCTCGAAGCAGCGCGGCCCAGTGCATCATCGACATATACATTCCGGAGAGGCGTTTGAGATACGCGACGAGGTCAAGGCGACTCAGAAGCTACAGCGTATGGGTTTTCCTTTTGTCTAGCCCAGATATCTAAGTTTTATTTAGAAACGTGCAAGCGCTGTGGGTATATGTCGAGCAATGAGCTATGTAAAGCGTGTACACTTCTCGAAGGCCTCGAGAGAGGCATAGCTGCATCCGGAATCGTAAGCCTCCGAGTCCAGCTGATAATCTCAAGCTCTGAATCCGCTTCTTAGACTGAACGCGCACGTAAAAAGCTGGAAGCCGAGGGCCCTACTCCGGACAACCTCCGCACTATCCCGTTCTTTGAACGACCATCCGGGAACCCGACGGTCATGGTCGAAGGCCCATCGTAACATTCGCCTTAAAAGCTGCACTGTATTACCTATGTTACACTGTATCGATAGAATGTACACGTCCTAATAAGTATAGCCGAATGTCATGAAACAACCTTAACAACTACAGTACTCCCACATTGAAAAACCCCGCAGAAAAGACGTTTGGTGTCCGTTCGAATGGAACCGTCCTGGCATCTCCGCCAACAAAAGGTCTTATACCTTCGTTGATGGCGAGACGAAGAACCGCGCCTATACTATCCCGTACATCCTCTCCTTCCCAGTCGACATCCTGCGCGATGCTCACCCACGCATAACCAACCTTGCTTCCCTCGTGGTTGTGGTGTATTGCGCAAACGACCGCAGGCCCAGCCTTGAAGTGCCGATCCAGCACTCGGGATGATCTTTTCAGGTATGTCCCCGACAAGAGTCGTGAACTGCCCACAGCTCTTCCCCTTCCCAGTCCCATTCAAGAGCTTCTGCGACACCTCCCAGATATCCTTCCCACCCACAGTATCAAGAATGGCGTCAAAGGTATCGCCGTCTCCCATGAGACGCTCGATAACACGCACAACCGCACCCCGGCCCTCGCCGTCGTCGAATACGACCTTCCACCCCCCACTCTCGGATACGGTCCTCAATATCCCGCATATATTCGTCTTCATCCTTCAGAGCCGGCATAGGAGCATGCACGCAGACTCTCCACCCTCTATTCGCCAGCATCTGCACTGCCATCCCACCAATTCCATCGTGTCCTCGGCAAGACCAGCACGCGACGGCTCGTCTGCCCTGGTTCGTGATCATTCGTAAATCGCCGCACCACGCCATCTTCGAAAGGCATAACTGAAGTCCCAAAGCCACAGCAAATGTTCGGACGGCACGATACGCAGACACCCCGCACAGCGGCAGGAGCGCCAACTCATCAGGACTCATGTTCCCTTCAGACAGCGGATACGGGACTCTGTAAACCCGATGCCGATCCGTAACGATGAATTCTTGCAAGGCGCCACACTAAAAATGCTATTTCAGCATATACGCAGACCAACAAGAAGCATCCATTACCTTTCTTACGTCCAGTAGTCCGACGACCCACTCGCCCTTCCGTGCCACCTCATCCTTCACCTCCCATCCACATTCCAGGACACGACCCACAAAACTCCGCCCGGGCACAAACCCCGTCGATTCTGACGAGGCTAAACGAAAATCTATGCAATCGACACCCACACTCCAGACCTGGACTAAAACGCCATTGGCCGGAACAGACGAAGGAGGCACGCGGTAGCTGGTGAATCCTAAAACGTCACCTTTGGGAGCAGGCTTTCGATGGAACAAGCCTTTCCCACCGCCACCAACCAATCCCCGTACAACCTCAACACTGGCCATCGTTGTTTGAGCGATACCGCTCTTGGTCAAGTCCACGAAATCTTTGTTTCCGAGGATGCTCAAACGTCTACTGCTAGTGTTGACGCTTGGAGCGAAGGCGGGAGGAGGCGCTCGTGGCAGAGTTAACGACGTGTATCCCGGCGTACCCGAAGAGGGAATTGAAGGACTGTAAGAGGTAGAGGTAGGGAGGCTATTGTGACGCGCGTGTCCGGATAATGGCCGCGTAGGAGCAGAAACATTACGCGATCGAGCATTAGGAGGAGCGTAAGTGTTATACAGTGGTCGAAACGACCCAAGTGCGTTTTCTTCTTCCTCCAACAAGGCAGTCATACTCATCATGATACTCGGCGTCTGCTTATGGGACCGCGAGGCAGGCGACGACGAACGTGATACAGACGGAGAGCGCGTGGTGGCGGACCGGGGAATGGAGGGACGGGTACCACCGCCAGGTTTTGTACTGGGCGGCGACGTCCGCGCGCTAGACGAGCGTGTCAAACTTGGTGTCTGAGTGGAACGAAGGGAGTTGTGTCTGGAGGGAGTGCAAAGCCATTGAGAGTCCTGCGCAAAAGTATCATACTTGGTCTGTGAAGGTCGCCGTTTGGGCCGCGGAAGTGGTTCATGATCGCCAGCTTCCGAAGTCATGGGTGTAGTGATTCCAGTGGAGGGTGAAGAGTCGGATGAGAAAAGAGAGTGGCCATCGAGCGATACAGATTCGACAGATGTCGATGACCTCGAGGCCCATGTCCTTGTGGAGGGGATGGACTCTGGGAGAGTCGGGGCCACCATGGATACTCGAGGTGAGGAATTGGGAGTGTAGAAAATGTCGTCGGAATCGGTATCTTCACTATCGTCGTCGCCTTGGACTACGATTGATGGAGGCGGTAAGAGGGAAACCGCGGTGTCATTATGGTCATCATTGGTCGTTCTCAGGAAAGTCTAGATGGACGTCATTTTCGTGATGCGTGGGTAGGCAATGGTGCTCACTGTGGGTTCGTCATCAGGAATAGCATGGTCCTCTCCACATGCCACAGGCTCAGCCGAAACGATGCGTAGTAGTTGTGCCTTGTTAGAAAAGTACTGCTTTTCGGGAGGTTTTGAATATGTTTGAGATGGGCGTCCAAGTAGAGTCTGAAACAGCGTCGGCTTTGCCATGCGCACCGGGCGTCGTAATCGTCGGTTAGGTGAACAACGATGATGGTAATTACGACAAGAACAACAACGCCAGCAACTTGAACGACGACGGGGAAGAGTAAAAGGGTAAAGACTAAAGTGGAGAAACATTGATCGGTGATCGGCATTCGGTACGAGAGCCGGTGAAAGACGGAGGACAGTACTGAATGGGCCATCGAGAACATCGTTCAAACGTTCACTTAACAAATGCCGTGTCAAAGTTGACAAATCACAATGGGAGTCAAAGGTCCCATTCATCAAGCAAAATTAAGTGGTCTGAAGTTCAGACAGATTCCGATACGGGGAATCGAACCCCGAGCTGCCGCGATCGCTGTTAGCGGATTGAAAGGCGGCAATGTTAGCCGTTACACCATATCGGATTACCATGTGGCAGCGGAGAATTATGTATCAACGTATAGCAGTGCGGAGGCCAGGTCCGGCCGATCGCAGTGATCCGGCTTATGCAATCACATGGTGCGCATTTGGGTTCGACCTGGACGACGACTAGCGCCTATACTGACATATACCCCAGAACAGCCTCTCGAGGCAGATTTAATCGATTTCACTCCCATTTTGATAATCCGGCTGGCAGCTGCCTAACGACGAGCCGATCACGCGGAAGCATCGAGTAACGAAACACCTACAGAAATCCTTATCGCTCTCCAAGAGATAAGCAGACGCGATGTCTCACGGCTCCTATTCCTCTGCCAGCATCATGACCGAAGACGAAGAAGACTGGGAAGAGGTACCGTCTCGTCTCGTTTCGTGTTATTTTCCTAAATCTCTACCAGTACGTCAAGGGCGGCTACCACCCAGTTCATATTGGCGACTCTTTTTCCGACGGCCGTTACATTGTCGTCCGCAAGCTCGGATGGGGTCACTTTTCAACCGTCTGGCTGGCCAGAGATGTTCGGCAAGTCGTGTCGCTTATTTCGCGCTCCCATCCTCATCTTTTCCTAGCGAAAACCGTCACGTTGCACTCAAAGTCGTGAAATCCGCTCCCCGCTACACAGAGACGGCTCTTGACGAAATAAAGCTGCTCCAGCGTCTCATCACTTCGTCAACGCCTGCCACGCCACCCAGTCATCCAGGTCGAGCGCACGTAATGGCATTCTTAGATCATTTCCGGCATAAAGGCCCGAACGGGACTCACGTCTGCATGGTCTTCGAGGTGCTCGGTGAAAACCTATTGGGCCTGATCAAGCGCCATCAGAACAAGGGCGTTCCCATGCATCTTGTTAAGCAGATAGCCAAGCAGGTTCTCCTTGGTCTCGATTACATGCACCGGTGTTGTGGTGTTATACATACTGGTACGTTTACAGCCTCTGATCACAATTGTGCTAACCACACACAGATTTGAAACCCGAAAACGTTCTCATCGTAGTCGAAGACGTCGAAGCGATAATAGAAGCCGAACTTAAATCGGCTTCCTCCTCGTCGACGCCGCCACCGACTAGACTGGTCGGCGTACCAGCATCCAAAGGCCGCGGTGGGAATCAGACGCCCAGATCAGAGAGCATCTACATAACGGGTTCACAGCCGCTTCCCAGTCCCACCGCGAGTCCGATGCTGGATCGATGGGCGTTTGGCATGAGTAAGATCGGAGATGAGCTGGCGGATGAAGTCGGCAGCGTTTCCCTAGGCGAGGGCGAGGGCGAAGGTTTTGGCGAACGCGTGCCTATAACTCATCCTTCCTCCGCGCCCTCTCTCCTCACACAGCAAGCACCACCCATCCCTCAACGGCCGAATACCCCAAAGGACATGACCGACCCGGTCTATACGGGCACTGAAAAAATTACTGTCAAGATTGCTGACATGGGTAACGCGACGTGGGTCGAGCACCATTTTACCGATGACATTCAGACGCGGCAATATCGCTGTCCTGAAGTCATCCTCGGATCTAAATGGGGCATTTCTGCAGATGTCTGGAGCGTCGCCTGTGTGGTATTTGAGCTAATCACTGGCGGCGACTATCTGTTCGACCCGGCTTCGGGCTCGCGCTATTCCAAAGACGACGACCATATCGCCCAGATCATTGAGCTGCTCGGACCTATACCCAGTTCACTCTCGCTTAGCGGAAAGTATAGTGCGGAATTCTTCAACCGCAAGGGCGAGTTGAGACATATCAACAAATTACGGTATTGGCCGTTGGACGCCGTACTGCACGATAAATATCTCTTTCCCAAACCAGAGGCCGAGTCTTTGGCGTCGTTTTTGAGCGGTATGTTGAGGTTGGAGCCGGCGAAGCGCGTGGGAGCGGGCGAAGCGGCTACCCACAAGTGGTTAGAAGGGGTTGTCGTCGCGGGCGAGAAGGATGACAAGGCTGCTGAGGGTTCTGGTGCAATGAAGCCCGTGGAGGACTTGGAGGAGGAGGTGACACCTACGATCGCTCCTCCCAAGAAGAAGAGCTAGTGGATACTTAGGTGTGTTCGGGATACCTTGTTAGTTTGAATGTTGTAACAGTGTTTCACTAGATTACTGTATTGAATACCATTTTCTACCTTCAGTTTCGGTGCGGTTGTAGATACCAGACCTTAATATTATGAGATACCTGAGTTTCGTATCACATCATGAGAATCGGAACAGTTTGAGGTATGTTTTTCTTGAAACGTTGAAATTTGTATATGTAACACATTTTTTGCTGAGAGAGATGAAGCTTAATAATTGGCTCAGGCCTGGGCGACAGTTAGGCCCTAATAAGCTGCAGTAAGCCCTAGCTAGTATTGATATGCCTCGGATTTGGGCAGTGCCCCGCTGCGCCACATCACCTAGTCAAAGCTGGTAACCGTAAAAAAAAATGGACTCCCGGGGGGTTTAAATCTAGTATATAATATATATTACGCCATTTAGTCGAAGATAAACCAAAAATGTCTTTCAAGTTTGATTTAGCTAAAAAGATGGGGGCACCCGGGATTGAACCGGGGACCTCCAGAAGCCCCTGATTATATAATCTTCAGTCTGTTGCTCTCCCAGCTGAGCTATGCCCCCATGATTCACTCGCAAATTCCATTGGAACTATGTGAAAATCTAAACTGTGATTGTACATAATTTGGGGGTGGGCAATGCTGCGACCTTCCCGAGCTTGCCACTATTTGGCTTACCTGGGCCCTCTCTGCTACCTCCACCACCACGATGGCACACCTCCCTCCTGGCTTCCTCACCTCAATTTTGATGGTTCTGTAGATTCTGATGTAGTATGATATAATATCTAAGTCATTTGGCCGGGCAGATTTCGAAAATTTTGAGTGGAAGGCAGTGAACCCGATAAGTATACATGCTTAAACTTCGAATTTGGGAAATTCCCCCGGCCAAAATCCTTCATTATATGCCTGAAATACATCCCCAATTTTTTGAGCTGGTCAGTCGACGCGTCGAAGCGCGAGCTGTCGTCGACGATGGAGTAACATTTTGTGTGACGAATGTGTGACAGTTCGCGTTACTTGTGGCACGATCTGACCGAAAAACAACGTCGCGGGTCAGTTTGGCAGGTTTCACAGTGGAATAATTGACCAAAATGTTAAATACAGATCATGGATACAAAACGGGACTCTAAGTCGCGTACTACAAGCTTTCTCGGCCTGCAAAAGGAGAAAAGAACACCTTCTCGTTCTAGCGCTCAGAAAGCACAGTTTGCAGCCGTGCACGCGGTGGTGCGAAAGAAGGATCTTTACCCCATTCAGATGAGTCTTCCAATGTCCCGGATGATGAGGTCGACGACGACGATGTGGAAATGAGAGAACCTATCCCACAAGCATTATAATCAGCCTGATAGATACTCATATTCGGAATATTCCCTACATTTTTTACTTCTAGAGCATTACCTACATACATAACACTAATCCATACTAATCCAGTCAAGAAATCGAGATGCAAGACTTAAAACGAAGTGGAAATGAAGCAAGAAGTTGTTTGACACTAGCTGTGCCATGTTTCGCGCTCTCGATCAGCTTAGTAAGCGCACAGGCACACCCCCCCGATTGCCCACCCCCACATAATTGCAAGGGCAGGAATAAGGTGCGAGTTTAAGTTATGTTCTGAGCAGCGCATCACTGTCTACTCCAACCAACCTCGTCGACGAAGCTGATATAAAGAATACCGGCCAACCACAGACTAGCCCAACACAACTTCCATCTCATCCTTGGAAAAGCCATCCGTCCCGGCCGCCAAGGAATGAACCAACATCTCCAGCCGCGCTTTGCTCAAATTTGATTCCTACGCGCGAAGGTCAGGTCAATTCCCTTTTTTCCTGCCCACTACTCACCTTTCTCAGCTCATCGAGATCCTCACTGAAGCCATCAGCCACGGCAGCCATCCAGAACTTGCGGAATTTGACCTCGAGCTCAATGGGCTCGGTATCGGTTTTTTGTGGTGGTATGAAGGATGGAATCTGCGCAGGCGGCGGAGAGGGCGAGCGCTGCGGCTGAGGTTGGGCTTTTGGTGTTATCGACGCAGCAGCAACAGCGGGGACATCCGAGTCCGAGTCCGAATCAGACTCTGAAGACGAAGACGACGATTCAGAGGACGACGATGCATGATCAGCGGACGGTGTGATTTTTAATGGTGCTGGCAGAGTCTTGGGCTCAGAGTCGGATTCTGATGAGGAAGATGCGGAGGAGGAGGACGATGAGGCTGCGCGTCTTTTTCGCTTGCGGTTTCGTCGTTTGGGAGCCGCTGGTTTCGCGGCGGGCATGGTGGTACAGATTCAAGTAATTTTAAGCTTTAGTTGCCGGTTTGGAAACCGGAATCTCTCATCCTGTTCAGCGAACATTCTTTGATTAAGATCGACGTGGAGTGATACCTCTGAACTTATTTAGACTCGTCTTCGTCTTTCAGAGGAAGCAGTAGCTAGAGAACGAAGAGAATCATATTATGTCAGTCGATCATGTTCATCGCGTGGTTTATTCAGACTCGATATGAGCTTCAAGTTCTCTACTTTTGGAGAATTATTCATGGAATTCTCTCAGAAATTTGTCCTACAGGTTCAAATTCATCGCAGGTGTAAACGATCATGACCACTGAGCAATACAGACTAGTGATCCATTTCTGGCAAGAAATTACTTGTTCAGTCAAGGTATGCCGCGACATCGTGTGCCCCACATGCGTGTCCATGTGTTCGTAACTTCTCTGCTGGCAGATGCTCTGAGAAGATTCAGCATTGTGTTTCATTGAGAACAATGGCATTCAAATCTGGCTTTCATCAACAACGACCGTATGGTGCTCTTTCAGTGACACGGAGTGCTGCCTCAAGGCAAAGGCCGGTGCCGAATCGACTGGACACGAGTCCCAAATTCGTGAGAGCCGACTGGATTTTGGCATGGCTCAGACGCCATAGGATAACCGAACGGCGATTGAATTGAATTTATCCGACTTGTTCCCAGAAACGTCCGAGTCATAAAGTGGCATCTTACACCGATGTCAGGTCAAGAGGCGCAACGCGGTTGTCGAATAAACGTGGCAGGCCAGACGTCCAGTCCAGTGGTAGATTTCCTTGTATTAACGAGTCCAACCTTTTGGTGGGTGGCATTTTGGGTGAGATATATGTACAGAATCCACAATGATTAAGAGAAGCGTTGAGTCTACAGCAGGTGCACAATGTGAAGGAATAAAAATGTCATATACATGTCATGGTGTTCGGTCGGGCTCGCCTGGTGGCCGAACGGTGAACGAGTCTTCGGAGGCAATGCTGCACGAGTCCTCCGATCGTGGCGGTCGAATCGTAGGCTCGTCATCTGTGGTCCAACCCTCCTCGGTCTCCGTCTCGATTTCAGACTCTGAATCGTTGGTGGAGAAGAGGAGAAGCTGTTTGGCGTAACGCTGCATTTCGTCGGGGTGTATGACGAGGCGAAAGTCGTTGAGCAGGAGGAACTGGAGTTCAAGCTGATTGAGTTCTGCTTGCGGTAGACCGCCGACCTGGGGGCAAATGGTTAGTGGTGAACGAACAATGATAGGTCGAGTTGCTCACTTTTGCATACCGCGAATTTGTATAGAATACGTCGCTGAAAAACTTGCTGGCCACGGTGACACCTGCGATGACCAGGCGATGTATGTTGTACGAGTCTATGACAAAAGCTCGGCCCGTAAGCTTGCTCATTCTGTCAAAGTACACGAGCAGCGATAGAAAGACCTCATTGGTGGTGGGACAATATTTCAAGATGCGGAGGAGGTAAGCCTCTAGCGTAATGGTGGGAACATTTCGTGCATGAAAGGTCAGCGTGCTGGATGGATTGGCGAGGGAATTGAGAGATGCGGTGGTGAGGCCACTGGGATAATGAGGATGAGACGGTGGCGCTTGTGACGAGTCTTTGAGGGCATCATTGGTAGCTGCAATCTGTGTGAGCAATGATGCGAGCAGCCTGAGCAGCTCCGCTGACGGGTAGCTGTGTATATCGACCAACGGTGGCTCTGGCGGTGGCGGTCGCGGCGGCGATGGTGCGCGGCGAGATATAGGAGGCGGATGGGGTAAACGGGATGCGGACGACGACGACGGGCCTGCTGCCGACGACGACGATGATGAAGAGGAGGACGTGGTGGAACGCGACGGTGTCTGCCGTCGATGAGGGCGTGACGAGGTTGGTGGTCGGTGAACGTCGGGCGCGGGGTGTACAAGCGCGAGCATTATGACGGGAAATGGGCAAGTAAACAAAGGGGCCCTGGGTCACGCCCACAACGTTCCGTCACGCGTAACCGGTCACGCTTCTCAATTAGCTCCGCCTCGAGAGCTCCGAGATGATGTCGTGCTCCTGATAGGCTACGAGCCATATATGAAGCCACGAGAAGGCTATCTGCACTCACACGTTGGTCTCGGCACGTTGTTTCCGCTCCGGAACAAAGCACCCACAACAGTACATATCCGACACGGATCCTTACCATCGCCGAATTTCAATCAGTCTTCCGTCCCGACATTCTCATCCAGCAGAACGGTGAACATACATTACTGGATATTTTTAACAACATAATCCACGTTTGTAGTTCTGCTTAGCCGGTATGATTATGATTAACTTTGACAGCTGTGTCTGCCTCAAAGCTTCTTTGAACAGAAATCGAGAGGCCTTTGGCACTTCCATCACAAAGCCTTCATGCCTACTAAAGAATACTCTGGCGCTTCCATTCTGCGACCAGCACGTCATGGCAGACTCCGAACCTCTTGAATTGTCCATCTTGATCGAGCATACAAGACGCCTGTGAGAATGTCATCGGTTTGATAGGACTTGACAAAGGATGACGGAATCACCTATACAAGATAGAGTAGATTAGTACTGGTCCTCATTATCGGCGCTTCCCTCGCAGATGGGAAAATAGAGACTGTTTAATCGTTCCCATAAAGCGGTCCGCTCATCATAGTAAGCGATTCATCCTCCTCCAGCTTGCTCACACACACTGTCGAATACCGCAGAATTCCAGTGATAGTTGGCGCCAAACAGCGATGCCGACATCGGAGGGGGAGCTGTGAGATACTGCCAGCTACTTCGAACGAAGATGACAAAGTGCTTGGAACCGGATAACTTGCTCAACGAGTAAGCATCGTACACGAACGGTTGAACTCATTGCCAAAAGGAACCACAGTAGCGGTACATTCTAGGGAGGTTGTAGCCGGAAGCTCCGTAACAAGCAACTTAAGATCTCCACTAGGACGCTCAAGCCCGTTGAACTTGAAGTGTATATCAAGAGGGACCTTGTGAAGCTGGGAACGAGTGGGATCGAGTCGGCCGACACAAGGCGCGTTACAGCGTTCAAAAATCACCACGCACATTCCACTGGCAAGCTACTTGTCTTTCAAGCCGCAGGGTAGACTTTCGTTTATGTGGGGGATAAGAAACTAACAGAGCTTTCTGTTCTATACAAAAACTTCAGACTGTTCCCCTTCTACCGTTGACGTCAGCTACTGCATGCTCACTGGGACGATTGAGACGCCTTGATCGAGATTGCCAGTACTAACTATCTTTCAAATGATGTCGCACCCGGGATTATACCTAGCAGCATCTCATCGG